TTAATCAATAATGCTGCGCCCAAATACTGTAAACAAATTGTTGATAAAAGTTATTATCAAATGATTAAAGTTACCAAACAAATTTTATTCATTATATTCTACTTTATTTTATTCATTATATTGAAAGAAAAATTATATTGAAAGAACAAATTTTATTCATTATATTGAAAGAGATTAAATCTCTTTCATTTGCAATCTTTTCATATTTTTTATCATCACATTACTTTGTCATCTGTTATTTCAATTGCTTTACCTATTTTGTTGATTTCATATTTAAATTTAGAATTTAGGCGCTTAGCTCTAATTTTCAATCTAAATTTCATCGATCTCAAACGATTGACTATATTGAAACAATTTTATCGAGACTATTAAGCGTGATAATTGTACTGATAAAACAATGGTTAAATTCGTCTAAAATTTGATCACCAGGATGATAGGTAAATTACAGGTCTAATTACTAATTAGTCTTGTAGATCTTTTCTGTAAATTTTGTTTGTTTTCTTGACATGAAGATGATGATACAATGTTAAATGATGATAGGAAAAAGTCGATTTTTTAAAATTATTTTTTTTTTGCAATTACTTGATTATTTTGGTTTAACGCTTTTATAGATCCAAATAAAACTAGTAATTTAAAAATTTTTCAATTAGAAATATTTGTCATTGTTAAATTAGTTTTATAAATAGCCTAATAAAAACTTCAAATATTCTAGGACACAAATATAACTTTTACTATCAAATACTGTAACATCTAATTGTATTTATCATTAGGTTAATCCAATTTGTCCCGTTCAAAAAACACAAGTTTTCGAAATACTTTCAACTAATTCATATCATAAAATTGGAATTTTTTTTTTTTTTTTTATGAATATATTCAAATTTTATAAAATAAATGATGCGTTCTAAGATTAAAATATACATTTCTTTTCAAATATTTTACGCAAAAAAAAAAAATCTTTTTTTTTCTATGTTCTTTTCCAGATAGTTAAATATATGGAATTTATGGAATGAAATTTGAATTTGTATTTTTTTAATATATGGAATTTATGGAATGAAATTTGAATTTGTATTCAATAACACAAAAGTAGTTTGAAAATCAAATTATTTTCAACACTTCTCTAAGATGCACATTTTTCTTTTTGCTGATAGTATGAAAATGATTGTGTCATTTCAATTTTAACTGAGAATAAAGTGTGTATCGATGGCTACTGCAGAAAAAGGTAGGCAAACATTTAAGTATTCGCTTTTAAAGAATGTTAACTAAGAG